GAACTTTGAAAAAAAGTATGCTTCTTTCCGGTTGAATGAGTTTTGCTCACCCTTAAATATAGGAATGTTTTGCCTGGCATCTGATTGTAGGTTATAGATTCTATATGTTATGGTTGTCTTTGTGAGCAAGAGAAGAAGTTAAAGGCACCGAAAATGGAATGTTTAAGAGCTCCGTAGGATGAGTTCCCAGGTTAGGAGCTCACTTTGGCGAGTTTGGGGCTAAGGAGCTCCCTTTGGCGAGCTTCATATGTATTATTAATCATAGGTTATTCACGAGATAGGAATTGCAACAAAGGTAAGGCTTTACCAATTGAAGTAGATTTTCACGTGAATCTCCTGGTGATTCAATCCATAACTCATTAACTTAACACTATGGCATCGTAATCTCTTAAGTATGTTGAATGACTCTGATTGTCTTGGGTTAAAGAGACGCTTGGATGGCGTTTCATTGGAACTTGTAGCTTACTTTCTGCCTTATTTTAATTATAGAACTCTGTGGACCTTGGGGTGCCTGTTCGAGTAATCCGTGGTCATGAATCTGCTAGCAGTTACTCTGGAAAAGTGTATACATACGATGGCTTGTACAAGGTAACTTTATGAAACATTTATAAGCTTGGGTTTATAAATCTGCATGATATGTCTTCATCAGTATCGTGTTATATCTTGTGAAAATTAATTAATTGGAAATTCACTTTTCCCCTTTGCTGTATGAACTATCATGATTAGAACTATAAGCTTGCTCCTAATCCTAATTAATTATGAACTGTTTGAATGCATAAAATGATATTTACAGTTCCTTCTGTGATAAATTGGATGGAATTTGAAAATGTTTGAGGATCGTTTCATGTTTTTTATATGATTAACTTGCCTTGGTGCCTCTGTCACTGTTTTTGAGAAAACGAGCTGTGAGGCAAAATCTTTCCTATTGTTCGAAGACAAAAATTTGAAGTGATCAGATGACTACATATTGCTGAAAAGATAATTTTAAGTAGCAATTTCTTGCTTGTCTTCTCGATAAGTTACACCTCAAGCTTTGTATGTCTCATGTGCCATTGGTTGAATGATGCTTTTTGAGTGTCTTTTGCCTTGAAAAAAACTTCAGTTTTCTGGTTGGTTTGTCTTTTATCTGCTTGGTGTTGTAGCCTTGTTTTCTTTGCTCATGAAGGACACGACATATCATTTTTTTGTAATATTTGAAAATTTGTTTAAATACTAGATGGTATTCTTTTAGCTATAGTCTTCTGAAAATTAGTTTTCTTTTATATGGAGTGTTCGTTTTAGATTTGTTTTGATGATAATAAATCAGTCTTTTTTTTGATTTGAGAAATTTAAGTTGCTTTATACCAATTTGATGTAATGCAGTTAATTTCCTGCTCACTATTGCAGGTTGTTCAGTACTGGGCAGAGAAGGGTATTTCTGGGTTCACTGTTTTTAAATATCAATTGAGGCGTCTTGAAGGACAGTCAATATTAACAACTAACCAGGTTTACTATCTTGTCTATGATTTCTTGTGGCTAATTGCTCTAATTCTATAGGGTGTTTATTTTCGGACACAATGTTATTTCTAGTGTACTTTCCCTGTAACTGAACTTCTGCACGTGAGCTGTAACCAAATTCTGAGGAATTGTAGTGTATGTTTTGAATAAATAAAAAGAATGAGAAATGGAGCGGACTATCTAATCTTGGCAGTGACTGACTTCTAAGATCAGGAAAATATCTATTTATTATGCAGATTGAAGAGGTTTTCATGACAGGGTAATTGGTGGAATGAGATGCTGGACATAAGTCTTCTGATATTTTAGAAAATTTGAGAAAATTGTTGAAATACTTTGCTCACAATTGAATGATCATATAGGATTTAGGAATTTTCTGTTGATTATTGTAAATTTTTTGTTCATTCTTATGACAGGTTCAATTTATCTTTGGGCGTGTTCCCAAGTCTTCTTCTGAAATTCGCGGGTATTGAAGCTATTATAGAAAATAACTTCTTGCTGTATGTCACAATTTTCAGTCTCAATTCTATTGTTTTATTGGTTAAGGTTGGTGTGTGAGGACATAAGTGGTGGTCAAGAGGATGTTCCTATTCCTGCTACTAATTTGGTTGATGATCCACCTGTTGCACCGACAGGCAAGCTCTACTTTCTAGCGTGTTATTTGATTTTCATGGACAATCTAATCAATACTATATTACAAATCTAATTTGGCTGTATGAATGAATACTAGTTTCATGGCAAGAAATTTGCTCTTCTCATGACATGGGGGTTCGTTGACTTCTGGCCGACCACATCATCCTCCATTGTTTTCTATATCTTGCACTTTTTCTCTTCTGCAATTTCAGCATGAGTTCTTGTAAACCACATTACATGTGAATAAATAGTCGATTGATTCCCCTTGCTGGTTGTTCTCCTAGTTGGCTTTGCAGTGTGATCTGTTGAAAGAGGTCCTTTGTGAAGGTCCAACAATCCTCGTTTCTAAGTGCTTTTCCCTTCTATCATCAGTTAACACTAACTATTTTCTGCATGCACAATTGTTTTGTACCTTTCTTATGCTATTGGTACTTTCTTCTTCAATTTTACCTATCATTTTCTGCCCCCTCTCTTACTTTGTTTGTTCAAATAAAAGATAGCTTCCATTTGATGCTATTGGTATAATTCATTTTTTTCTTTGTTTTTCAGGTTACATTTTTTCCAAGTCTATGAAAGTTGCATGGAATATAAAGCTACCTGCTATGCAACTGGATGCAATTGCGAGGGAGCTTGCATGGATCCCAAGACTTGTGAATGTGCCAGGCTTAATGGTTTTGATTTTCCTTATGTGCACCGTGACGGTGGCAGGTAAAACTTTTGGAATAAGAAGTCATAATAGCTAATGCCATCCTCTTTAATCTTGTTGTTTAAGTTTCTTGCTTATTAACACACTGCCACTTCAATTCTAGATTGATTGAAGCCAAGCATGTTGTTTTTGAATGTGGTCCGAATTGTGGCTGTGGTCCAAGTTGCGTAAAGCGTACATCTCAGAGAGGATTGAGATATCGACTTGAGGTTTCTTATTACATTAAGAATAATTTCTTTGTTCATTTCTTTATTTAATCTTGTGATGAATTCTGATTGAAACATCTCTTGAATAAAATCCGACTGACCTGAATTGGCAGGTATTCCGTACTCCGAAGAAAGAATGGGCTGTTAGGTCTTGGGATTTTTATTCCTGCTGGTGCCCCAGTTTGTGAATATATTGGAGAACTCAAGAGGACAGAAGAGCTTGATAGCGTCTCTGAGAATAATTATGTTTTTGAAATTGATTGCATGCAAACTATGAGAGGGCTCGATGGCAGAGAGGTATAACTGACCTCTTTAGAGCATTGTGATTATCTAGCTTTATGTTTGAGGTTGAGTATTTTGTTCGGTCTGATAGTGACATCCAAAGGGTCCAATCCAACAATAAATTGAAGTTCATAGGGAATCGTTTCTTTTAATGAAACATCATCTTTCTGATCGGTGATATGCTTGGTTTTACTGCTGTGAAGTGATAAATTAGTTGTTTTTGCCTGCTTGTAGAATGTAATTAATGTTTTTCTTTTCCTTGGCAGAGGCAACAACAAGATGGATCTTTGCCGGTGATCCAAAATGTGGACAAAATTGATGACAGAGGTCAGAGAATGTACCAGATTTCTGCATTGATGCTGGTTCTATTGGAAATATGGCAAGATTTATCAATCATAGCTGTGAGCCTAACCTTTTTATCCAGTGTGTCTTTGAGTTCACATCACAATCTTAAACTAGCTCGAGTGATGCTCTTGGCAGCAGACAACATCCCTCCTTTACAGGTAATTTTCCTCCAATTCTGATGTGTGGAGAGTGAATTGCCTTTTAAATTTCTTGGGAACATGTTCAGCAGCAATTTATCTATTTTAGCATAGTTTCTTGTATGTTGCTTCAAAAATTATGATAATATTTGGAGCACTAGCCTACTTTTAGGTCCCATGCGTCATTGATATATCAATAGGTTTACTAAGATTTCATTATATTTTCTTGAATTAGCGGGAGTTTGGAATGATTGGATACTATTTTCTATAATCTGATTGCAGGAGCTTACTTATGACTATGGGTATGCCCTTGATAGCGTATATGGTCCTGATGGGAAGGTAAAAAGGATGGCATGCTAATGTGGAGCAGAAGGTTGCAGGAAGCGGCTAATCTAACTTCTAAGTGCTGAAATTGATGTTTTGTATGAATGTATGCATGTATGTATCTTCTGCATTGATTCTAGGTGCTGCCAGATGTTATGGATCTTTTTTGGCGACAATTTTTTGTTGCAAGTGTTAGAAATCTCATCTCCTCAGTCCCCTCGCCTCGCCTGTACAACAAATACACAAGATAATATATATCAGTTCATAGCTCAAGGGAATTGATGGAAAAGAAGAGCAGTAATTTTTTTGGTCGAAACCACTGTAATTTGTGCAGAGTTGTGATGGATTCATGGTTTTGGTTGTGGCTTATTCTTATGCACGGTAATAGTTCTTTTGCGATATCTATATATATTGGTCATCTTTCACCGTATCCTTGGTTTCTTTCTCTTCCTCTGAAAATTCAAAGCTTTCTCTCACTCCAATGATATGATTATTTGATGGTTAAGATGATGAACAAAATTCCTTCTCTTCTTCCAACTTGTTTGAGAGGTTAAAAGTCTTGAGAATAACATTTTTCACTAATACCATAACATGTATTTCATAATTACAAAATATAAAATACTCATCAAATTACAGATTTCTATATCAATCAAGTGAGAATAACCTTTTTCACTGTTGAAGGTCTTTGAAATATTTATCATGCAAAATTCACTGTTATTTCTGTTGTTATTTAACCCTTAAACTTTTAATTTCCTTCATCAACTTTCAATTTTAATATTTTAACCCCTAAATTTTTTCAGTCATCTTACCCAAAAAATAACAAGGAAAATCAAAGAAAAAGAATGAAACTCTCTAAATAAACGTTGGATACATAAACATGCTTGCCCTGACGACATACTAAAACAATTACACGTCAGAATAGCATTAGATGATCAAAAGCTAATCATGCTACTCCGAGCAAGATTTCATTCGATATTGACGACCTTCTCGCTGGGAGCTGTTTCTGTTCTCAATGATTGTTTGGGGTTCATCTTCATCCATTGCGCAAACTCCATCAGTATCCCCAGCTGCAATTCCAATTGGCAAGCCTCCCTTATGCATGGGCTCCTTGTCAGTACCTTCCTGGGTTTGTTTTGGCTTACCGCAATTTTCTCCCATGACTACATCGCCGATTTTCCTCCCTGGTATAAAGGTTACTGGTTTTGTGAGATCACCTAGAGCATCATCGGCATGTGGTTCTGTACTATCTGACCTCCTGACCAGTTTAAGGAAATCCATATAGGCTGGCCGATTTGATTCATCATCAACATCACCAGTATATAAAGTATATCGAGTATACTTCGAAGGGTTCTGCATATAAGCTGGAATTCCAGACGGGTAATCCTGAGATAAAGTAGATACCTCATTGGAGACCATATCATCTTCCTCTGTCAAGAAAGCTTCCCCCAGAACATAGTTGGTTCTTTCAGGGCCTTCACTGCAATCACTTTTACAACATTCAGAATCAAAACGGACACATTTTTTATTTTGAATTTGACTTGGCACCCTTTCTCTTCAGAATTGGTTTCAGGTTACCATCCTCAAATCCGCTAATGTCAGCCTGCACGCCGACAGTTGCTACACAGTCAGACACATGCAATGAATCAATTTTTTTTAGCGGTTTCAGCATCTTCTTCATCTTCCTTAAGCCTAAGTTTTGCAGCGATGGGATTGGTACGTGGATCTCTACTGAAATCCTTGAACACAGTTGGAAGTACATTGCCAGAATCCACATCTATGTCATAATCATTTACATCCTTCATGTAAAGACGTTCTCCGTTCTTAACCCTGCCAACAGAAACTTTATCATACGCATCTTCCTCTTCCTGCACAAGAAACCCAAAAAGATAATCAATAACAGAATGTCAGATAAGAGTCAGACCCTAAGTCTGCGAAATTCTAGCAACTCTGACATATCATATGACAATACAACTCTTAACAAGTGAAACTGATGCATCTGTCATCCACAGTACACTCAAATGTGTTTTCTGGTTATTGGCTTGTGAGTTCTGCAACTTTTATATCTTTTATATTCCCTACTTGCAATTAAATTTTGATATGAAGGCAAACAAAAGCAAACTTGGATATGAAAAATTAAACCAATTCTCTATTAACATTTTTTCTATGGAGATGATTGAAATAACTCCAATTCAATTCTTCTACGTGCTACTCGTGGAAAATTCATACAAAGGTTGAAATTTGAAATCGTGAAAGATAACATTTTTAGGGGCAAAAATATATTCCAATGCTGACATCCAACTAGCTTAAACATTCCATCCGAATAAATTGAGGGGGAAAAGAGTGAAAAGGAAAAGTAACCTCATAATCAAGTGTACAGTCCCTTCCAATGGAAGACTTAATCTCCCACTCTTCATCATTGTAATCCTCTGGCTTAGCCTATTTACTAGAGGAGGCACGAGCTTCTTCTTCCTCGTCGTCTAGGTCATCGAGATCCTTCTCCAGCTCCGCACCAAAATTAATGGCATTGTTCTTGTCCTTCGGTGGAAAGTTGTGGAAGAAGTCCTCGTCCTGCTGGAGAGTCTTTTTGTCTCGGTTCCACTCTCGTTTCTCGATTTCGTCGTCGGCGAGGGTCCAAAGAGAGCTCAAAGGCAGCGATCTGGAATTAAAAGAAGCATCGAGGGAGCCGAAAACTTTGCCGACTCGGGCATTGAAGCTGTCTTCCATGTTGGATAATTAGAATGAAAATTCAAGTAAATAGGGTTTTGTGTATGGAAAATTGGGGATGGGAAGAATGAATGATAATTGATAACCATATAAAAATACGGAGTGCACGCTATAAGTATCGGCCTAACTGAGGTCCATGTTCATGATTCTAGCTGAGATTAAAACTGATGATTATGAGGTTAATAAAAATGACATGTACTGTTAATTAAAAAACACTTTAAATAAAAATAATATATCTAAATATTTATTTTTTTTAAAAAAATATTTTGATACTTATTTTGACAAAATGATAATTTTATGTATTTATTTTGATTAAAAATATTTTACACTTAGATTAGAAAAGATGATATATTTTAAACATTTACTTATGATAGAAGCTTAAATAAAAAATTATTCGAACATATTTAGGTCCCGTTTGGTTCACGGTATATTTATTTCCTGGGAGGAATGTTGTTTTTCCGGATGAATATACCATGTTTGGATAGACCATATTACCAAGTGCCAGGAAAAAATTAATACCAACAGGAATTTTTTTTACTTCATTCCCGGGAATGTTTATCCCTCCTCTCCCTTAGGTATTTACTCATTCCCGTCCCCGTTGTCTAAAATAGCCTTCTCCCCTCCCCTTCGTTCTGCTGAAATTTTCTTCTTCTTCGATTTAGTTTAGATATTTGCTTCTGGCGTTCATATTTCAGTTTTTATTTTCGACATATTTCTTGGTTATGAAAGAACCCAGAGTGGTGCACCGCTTATCCTTCACTTCTGGGCTTCTTGGTGTGAGGCTTCAAAGCAAATGGACAAAGTCTTTTCCCATCTCTCCATTGATTTTCCCAACGCTCACTACCATAGGGTTCCTCTTCTATTCCCTTTTTAAGCTTCATAATGCAGGGTTCCTTGCCCAAAAGCGCCTGACTAATGGGCTTAGGCACAAGTTATACTGAAGCCGTTGCTCTCATTGCCACTCAGGTGATTCCTACACTCTGCGATTTTGTGTATAATGTATATATATGGCAATGTCAATTTGTTATCCAGACTTGGGATAAGTGTTGGGTACTGGTATATATTTGATTCCTAATTTGTTATCCGAACTTGGGATGGGTGTTGGATACAGGTATTAGTATATGTTTGATAAGGGTATGTTCAAACCAAGTGTTTTCTTATATATGAAATATCATGCCCTCATACTCATGTTCGGGTATGTGTTTGACATAGATGTCGGACACAAGTTCTTCAGGAAAACTGAAGAGTCTAGATATACTAGGAATGATTGAAATTTGTGGATATTGTATGCTGATTATGCGAGTTTTTCCAACCTGATGATTTATTGCCCGATTCTGTTGAGTTTTTTCCATGAACGGGTCTATTTGTGTATTTTTTTTTAATTATGTGTGTTTTTATGCAATTGGTATTCTCATGCTTCAGGATATCCAATTTCATTGTTTCTTAGTAGCTATGTTATTTAAACACAGATGTGAGTGTCAAGTTATGATTTTTTTGCAACATGTGTACGTTCAATTTGTTCTAATATTTTCTTGTATTTTAGGATCTTTGGAGGATCATATTCTATACACATCCAGATAAGTGTCTGATATATTTCCCAAATACATATACTTCAAGAAAAAATGAAGAGCCAAAGCCATACATCTTCGTAAAGCGGAGTAGATAATTTAGGATTTTGTTCGAAATTGTTCATAAATAGAGTTATTGGTTTTCAGAGCTAAGTCAATCACATGCCTGTAATTTGCTGTGTACCAGTTTTCCCTTTTTGATTTTTTCTTAAAGAAGTTTAAGGAAAATCCGAAGTTCACATCCCTTTTGATATGTTTTTTCCACCATAGATTCTCGAGTTTGTTCGTGATGGTGACAAGAGTGTGGCTGAATTGATGGACGTTGGCAAACAACTTTTGGGAAGGTATGCAACCAGTTTGCTTGGATTCTTCATTTCTCTTGAACTATTGGTGTCCAATACTACTATCTGATACATTCTGAGACATGGATATGGAGATGCAATCCTAAAAATGACATTTCAAATACATGGAAAAAACTAGAAAGACTTAAATATACATGTGTGGGACACATACCCGAATCCAACACTCGCTTCGATATCTGAGTAACATAAGCATCGACAATGTTTTGCTTTGAACACATGATATATATATATATATATATATTATTTTGTAGAAACGAATAGTAATTTCAATTGATGTATAAACAGGAGGCAGGTTTTTTCATCGGTGCCATATTTATTGGATTCTGTTCAGGTAACTATGCTTTAAATAATCATAAATGGAATTGATTTTTCCTTTTGCAATTCTCATGTTTTATATCCTAAGTGTTATGTTTTTTTAATCTTCATTTTTGTGGAAGTAATCAGGTCCCAAACATTGTTGTGGAGATCTGACCTCTAAGGATCATTCAAATACTTGTAAAGACTTTAAAAAAACTAATCATGTCATGTCAGTGCAGGATAAGGGTATATATTCGACACGGATATGGTTAGACTTTTCCTGAAAATTTTCATATATTTGGAGGTCATATCCTCATTCATGTGTTGGACATGAGTGTTGTTATGGACACATTAAGAAACATAAAGAATTGGAGCAATACATGCCTGAAGAGCCATTGTTCCAGATTTTTCTTGGCTCATATTGTGAACTCTTTTTTTCTGTCAAAATCAACAATGCAGATTTAGTATATTATGCAGATTAGTTAGAACTTGGAACTGGTCCAGCTTGTGAATATGAAGTATCCCAGTGGGAACTAAAAAAATATTGATAATGCAGTGCCTTCTAATGAGGAACCCGAAATGGATGATAAAACTGTTCCCGATGAAGTGATCCCAAAAGGTGGGACGATTACACTTAATTCCGGGAGGAGAGCAGTAAGCCTCAGAGTCACTAACAGTGGAGATAGGCCGGTTCAGGTGTTGCAAACTCTCTTCTTTTATTCATATTTTTTTCTTGTTTAGAGTTTGATCAATTCCACACCAGTTTCAGTTCAGTCTATATTATTAGGATTTGAGTGCAAGTGTTAGATAGGGATAATGGTTAGGTTTTTATATATTAATAGGATGTAAGCGTGTGGTAGGTCTTGATATGATTAGATTTTTCTAAGTTTTTCTAGAGAATCCCTGGAGGTCATATCTCCGTATCCATATGTTGAAAATGAGCATTTCAAGACGAATGTTGGGTGCCAACAGCATAGCTTTCGGTACCACTATATCTATGTGTACGTAGCTATGTAACTTGGACACGTGTGTGAGTGTTGGATACGAGTATGTGCATGTTCATATTTTTTCCAAGAGTTTTTCGTTTATTTTGTCTTCATATCCATATCCGAAAATGTGTCTGACATGTGTTGGACACGGTCTTAGTAACATAGGTACAGAGAATTGACCTACAATATAACTAACCAAAAAACTTCGGTTAATTTTTTCCAAGGAAGAATTGAAAGATCTCTGTGCTAACCCTTTAACATTTTTTTCAGGTAGGAAACCATTATCACTTTATCGAGGTAAACCCTGACTTGAATTTCGATCGAAGTAAAGCATTAGGCATGCGGCTAAATATACCAGCGGGAACAGCTTAAAGATTTGAGGTCGAGCGAGCATTTTAACCTTCATCTGTTGATAAGCTTGTTGTTTGATCATTGATTAAGTCAATTAACGGTTATTCATTGATCATGTTGTGGGTGTTGGTTATGTATATGTGTCGACACAGGTACGTTCAGTATTTACTATGTTTTTCCATATATTTAGAGCTAGTGACCATTGAATATATATATTCACACTGAAGTTGATTTAATCCATGAATGTATATGTTCGAATGCTAGTTGCTAAGTCAATCCAATTACTTGATTACTTGTTTTCTTGCAGAATATAATCATTAGCTGCTTGTTATTGCATTTGACAATCCTAGGCTAAGAGTATTTCACTGAACACACACATGAAGATTTTCTCTTTTTAGATTCATTCAATCATTTCCCTCAAAATGTAGAGAAGTGAATTTAACTAAACTTGCCCAGGAACACATTTTTCCAACTTAAATAAAGGCAATAAATATTCATATTGATAAGGCTGGACTATCCAATTGTGTGGATGTTCTTCCTTTAATATCGCCCTTTGATAATTTGCTTGAAGTCTAGGTTTGGTTAATATTCGATTTTTCTATTTAAACACTCTTGAAAGATAAATAAGGTTGGCCATTTGATTGTTTCTGTCAGGATGGTATGATTTTTGATAAATTGGAGGGTGCAGATCCTTCCAGTCTCGCCAAAAAAGTTGCCAAGGTTACTGGGCTTATTAACCCTGGAGAAGCTGCTGCTCCTGCTAGTCTTGGGATGGCTGCCGGCCCCACCGTCCTTGAGACGGTCCAAGATTTGGCAAAGGTAAATGGTTCATCCCAGACAGGAAATCAAGTGCAAACTGGTCTCGACGACAAACTTAAAAAACGCTTACATCCTTTTCTTTTCCTTGATTTCATTTTTTTTCTCGAGTGATGATTGCAGAGTTGAAGAAGTCGTTGCACGTTGTGTTCTCACAATTCGGAAAGATACTGGATGTGTTAGCATTGAAGACGCTGAAACACAAAGGTCAAGATTGGGTTATTTTCGAGGATGTTAGCTCCGCTACCAATGCTCTTAGGCGAATGCAGGGCTTTCCCTTTTATGACAAGGAGATGGTATATGTATTTTTGCAATTGGTTTCTTGTTTCTGTCATTGATGGAGACTGCAACAAGTTTCCAAGCTCCGCTTTTAATATGTCAAAATTGTTTTTCCTTGTTTCTGTCTATGAATTATTATTAAATTCTCTATGTTTTAACATTTGTTGCGATACTAATCAGGTTAAGTAAGTATGAATCAAATGACTAAATTTAGTATATAAAGAGATTGTATTAATTGTACTTTTTTTCAGTTACACAAGCAGCAAATATAATGCAATTGTCACTATCAAACAATAACACAACTGGTTGTGAAGCTAGACCCTAGGTTGGATCAATCTCAAACGAACTATAATCCAAGAGATTAGCATATCATTAATGCTTAATTCTACTCGGCTATACTCTCTCCAATTCAGTATTATGTTTAACCAGTTGGTCACTCAAATCCTTTCTCCATCCTTGGATCAGTCTCTCCTGATTCTTGATGATCTCAGACTTCATTTTCAATTCTTCTTCCACAGTTGCAATCTCCTGTTAGAACAAGAAACAAGTTAAATTGAGCTTCTTTGGAGTGGCTTAATCATACACCGCAATCATCTACAATAAAAGTTGTTGGGTTTACTTTTCTGAGCATTTCAGCTTTGGTTGGTTGATCCTCACGTTGCAAGCCAAGGAAGTATAACTGAAACTTCTTGGCAGCCTCCATGAAATCTCTAGCATGCCTCTCCACATCAACTATGGCAATTGCAAATAAAAAACACCATTTTAGAACACAAGGATTTGATCCAAAAAGCTTATATTAACTAAATTTATCTGAACTTTTCTGGGTACTACGTTAGTAAGTTAATGCATTCATTCAAGTACATCTATCTGATTCTGAACAATGATAAAATATGGAACCAAACATCAGAATAAGAACAAGTATCAAAAGACTATCACAGAAGGAACATGACAGATCATCTATATATATATATAAATGGAAATGCTTTGGGAATTAAGGAGAGGGTGAGAGCTACTGACTCTGATGAGAAGGGTGGGGAGAACGGTCAATAGCTTGAAGCTCCTTGGAGGGCAAGCATGACAACAAAGTCGTCTCCAACGCAACCACAATGTAAACATTAATATATTTTTACCATAAATTATGTAAAATTTAATATTAATTAAAATTAAAATAATACATGATATATTTAAATACTCAAATAATATATTATCAACAGATAAAATTTTTATATAAATAATTTTTATTTAAATATTTAGAATTTTACTTATTAAAAATATAGAACAAGGACAATTTGGTAAAATATACATTCCATTAATCTTTTATTCCTTCAACCAAACACGGTAATCTTACATTCCTGCCAAACCAACCAAACACAGTAATATAATATTCTCAGTAATCCTATTCCCTGGTAATCTTTTATTCCCACTGGTAATCTTACATTCCGTGAACCAAACGCACCCTTAATGATAAATTTACTTTACCCATTACAAAGGTATAAAAATGGATAAATAAGCGTGGGTAGGGCATGCCCAATAATTTATAGAGCATAAAACAGTTGATTTTATAGGACTCTCACCGCACCGAACCATGCGATCCAAAGGGCAGCACAACTCAGCAAAACAAGTGGCTTAAACATGCCAGACTGATCCTAAAAAAAGTACTATTTAGGCTCTGATTATCGACTCCTAATGAAACCACACAGACCAACCACTGCACTTAAACACATCGCTTCGCTTGCACCCATCTCCCTCCAAAATGTCGAAACTTTCATCGACGCCCGAAGCATCAAAACGGGTTTCGATCGAACCACATGCCGTTCCAACTTTATGGTTGGATAGCTCCTCAGAAAGGGCAATCTCTCGGAAGCTCGTCAGTTGTTCGACAAAACGGCAGGAACACTGTATCTACGAACATGATGATTTCGGGTTATGTCGAATCAGGAGATCTTTTGAGTGCTAGGGACATGTTTGATGCCATGCCTTATCGAACTGCGGTTACTTGGACCATCATGATAGGTGGGTACTAGTAGAAGAGTCAATTCCATGAAGCCTTTAGGCTTTTCGCTGAGATGCGAAGACATGATACACAGCCCGATCCTGTGACTTTTGCAACTCTTTTATCAGGTTGCAATGACGCCGAGGCGGACAAGAAATTGATTCAAGTTCATGCTTGCGTGATTAAGTTGGGTTACCATTCCAGTCTCGTAATATACACAATTCACTGGTTAATTCTTATTGCAAAACTAATCACCTTGATTTGGCTTCTCGGGTTTTTATTGACATGCCTGAAAGAGATTGTGTTTCTTTTAATGCATTGATCAATGGGTTTGCAAAAGATGGTCTAACTGAAGACGCAATAACCCTCTTTCTGGAGATGCAAAATTGTGGTATAAAGCCTTCTGATTTTACTTTTGCTGGGGTTTTAACTGCTGCTGTTAGATTAAATGACTTGGACTTGGGGCAACAAATTCATTGATTTTTGGTGAAGACCGGGTTTGTTTGCAATGTCTTTGTGGGAAATGCATTGCTTGATTTCTACTCGAAGCATGATTGTTTAGTTGGAGTCAGGAAGTTTTTCGGCGAGATGCCAGACTTGGATGGCATTTCTTACGACGTAATCATCACATGCTATGCTTGGTTTGCACAGCATGATGAAGCTATTAGACTCTTCCGTGAATTACAGTTTACATGCTTTAACCGGCGGCAATTCCCATTTGTAATCATGTTGAGTATAGCAGCTAATGCACCAGACCTGAAAATGGGGCAGCAAATCCATTCCCTGGCTATCGCGACTACAGTTGCTTCAGAACTTGTGGTTGGGAATTCTTTAGTTGACATGTATGCGAAATGTGGCAGATTTGAAGAAGCTGAAAAGATATCTAGGACTCTGGCCAAAAGAAGCACAGTTCCATGGACTGCCATTATCTCAGGCTACGTTCAGAGAGGATTCAATGAGGAAGGCCTGAATCTGTTCAATGAGATGCATAAATCTGGTGTAAGAGTAGATCAAGCCACATTTGCTAGCATCTTAAAAGCATCTGCTAATTTGACTTCACTATCACTGGGGAAACAGATTCACTCATTTATAGTCAGATCAGGCTTCATGTCAAATGTTTTTTCAGGAAGTGCACTTCTGGATATGTACGCAAAATGTGGCTCCATAAAAGATGCTATTCAACTTTTTCAGGACAAGCCTGAAAGGAATATAGTCTCTTGGAATGCCTTGATCTCAGCCCATGCTCAAAATGGGGATCCTAAAGCCACCCTTGACACATTCGAAAAGATGGTTCAATCAGGTTTCCAGCCGGATTCCGTCAGTTTCCTCAGTGTTTTATCTGCTTGCAGTCACTGTGGACTTGTTCAAGAAGGGTTGAGATATTTCAGAACCATGACTGAAATGCATGATCTTGTTCCAAAGAAAGAACACTGTGCGTCGATGGTTGATATGTTATGCCGGAGTGGACGTTTTCATGAGGCACAGAAGATGATGGCTGAAATGCCATTTGAACCTGATGAGATTATACGGTCATCGGTTCTAAATTCTTGTAGGATACATAAGAACCAAGAATTAGCTATGAAAGCAGCAGATGAGCTATTCCAAATGGAGGTGCTTAGAGATGCTGCTCCTTATGTCAGTATGTCTAATATCTATGCAGCAGCCGGTCAGTGGGACAATGTTGGGAAGGTAAAAAAGGCAATGAGAGAGCGCGGAATTAGAAAGGTTCCGGCTTATAGCTGGGTTGAAGTAAGACACCAGCGTTATGTGTTCTCAGAAAATGACATGTACATCCTCAGATGGAAGAAATCCGGAAAAAGATCGATATATTGTCGGAACAGACGGAGAAGGAAGGCTACAGGCCTGATACAAGTTGTGCCCTTCATGATGTAGACGAGAAAATGAAAATTGAGCCTCTTAAGTACCATAGTGAGCGGTTAGCAATTGCATTTGCGCTGATACGAACACCCGAAGAATCACCAGTACTCGTGATGAAGAACTTACGGGCATGCACAGACTGCCATGCTGCAATCAAGGTAATGTCAAAGATTGTTAGAAGGGAAATCACAGTGTGGGATTCAAGCAGGTTCCATCATTTTAAGGATGGAATCTGCTCTTGTGGGGATTATTGGTAGTTTAAACTTCATACAAGAGATACTGCCTTGTTGATTGGCCTGATATTCCATTGAATTATTGATTTCACCACTGTGTAAGATCTCTCTAGTGGCCGATGGTAATAGTGACCCATTGTTTTTAGGGCTGTAAGTGAGATAATGTATATTATAAGTTATTCGAGTTCGATTTGATCAAAATTCAGTCAGTTTTTGAATCGAATGAATTAACCTCAAACTCAACTGAAGTGTTTAACAAGTCAAAACGAACCATACTTAATATTTGATTCAAAAGCTTGAAAATAATAATATATTAAATTTTTATTTTTTTTAAATTAAGAGTTAAGAGTTACTTTTGTCCCTATAGTAGTAGATATAACTTATCATCTGTGTCTTATTATATTTTCACATCACTTTATGCCTCAAAATTATTTACTTGCATTAATATTTAAAATATTTGTTTAGGGTTTTAATTAGGATTTATGATTTAGACTTTTAAGTTTAAGATTTAAAGTTTGTTAAGATTTAAGATGAGACAATTAAACAACTTCAATAACTAAATTAATGTAAAAATACTATAAGAATAAAAATGATAAATTGAACCTATACAAAAGTAAAAACAACCTTTCAACCTTAAATTATTAAAAATATAAACATGTTTTTTAAAAATGTTTTATATGCTATTTTTTAAATGTAAAATAAGGTTTTATAAGTTCGAATTCGAATTTAAACTTCAATCATTTGAACTCTAACAATGTTTCGAAGTTTTTTCAAACCGAATGGAACTTTAATTTTTAATCTCAGTTTAAAAAATTTGAAGTTACGAAATTTTCGGAGAGTGAAATTCAATTTTGTACTTCAAATTAAGCTTAACAATACTCGACGTGGACTGGTCTAAAATTCTAAATCTCTAATTGACTAATCGTTTCCATTTTATAAGTGAAACTTGCAGATAGCTCATTCACATAATATGATTCCATTGACCTTCTCCTCTATCCATTTCCATTGAACTACTCTTCAAAAGAAACCAAATCCCACATAAAAGCATTAC